TAATCGAATAATTAGCCCGTTGGTGACAATTACAAAGAACTTGGTCCTTTGCCCTGGTAAGATAGACTTAAAAAAAGCCGTTTGTTCGCTGCTATAAAGAGCGGTCGAAAGAAAAGAAAGAGTAGCTGCTTTAATAGTTGCATATAAATAAGTACGCATAAACGTAAAAAGACTTTTAAAAAACTCTTGCGCATAATATCGAGATTCGAAGTCAAGTTAGTCGTTTATAATCTAATCCGAAGCGAAAGCGTATTGCTGCTAAACTCGTCGTTTAATAGCAGCCGCGCGGTCGATATCGTCGAAATAGCTCTCGATAGCTTTCGTCGCTATATTAATAATCGGTGCTCTTCGTCTTAATACGAAAAGAAAAAGCTGCAAATTGATAGCAGCGTTCTTTTTTCTCTTCTTAAAGTGCTAAGTAAAGTTAAACGGCGATATAACGTTTTAAAGTCGTATATAATTAGCGTTGTTAATATTATTATTGTCCGCGGAAAACCGAGATAGAATAATAAGAATCATTTCTCGAGCTATGCAGCGAGCGCAACGAACTATTGATCTAGTTCTAGCGGATTCTTAAAAAAACCGTATCTTAAGAATCGAATGCAATGAAAATCAAGTCGTTGTAAGCAAGTTGAAAATTTCGTATTAAATAATTAAGATGTTTTGCGAATAAAGTTGTTCAGCGCGCGAAAGTAAATATAAAAGCGAAAAAAACCGTTTTGCTTTTTAGCGAAAAAGACTAAAGCTGCAAATAGCGCTATTAAAAGTTCGATAAAACTTTTATCAAGATTGTCGATAAAGTAGACTTTAATAAGCTTTAGCTTAAAGATCGACATCTTATATAATAAAGAATACCGAAGCGTCTTTTCCTCCCTTTCGAGAAGCTCGATTTTATAGTCGTAAGGCTTATATGATGCTAGCACGTTGCTAACGGCTTTAAAAAATACGTATATATAATCGGAGTATTCGAAAAAAATAAAAAGGTCGTTAATAAGCTTTAATAATTCCGCTGCAAAGTTAATAACAAAGATAAAGCCGTTAATAAAGCGTATTAACGCTGCTTAATAATCAGCTTAAATAAAAGCAATCGTTTAACGCTCGAAGATTAAGTAATCGAGCTCGTAAAAAGACGTAAAAAACAGTTTTACGTCTTTTTAACGAGCAATTATATAAAAAGCGTATTCGGAAACGCCGTTGATTTTAAAGTTTCTATTGATTTTATGCTTAAATATTTAGCGAAAACGTTTAACGAATAGAAAGAGTTTTACGAAAGCGATATTAATTAATATAAGCTTACGGTTCATTTAAGATATTAATTTAACGTAGTTTTTAAAAAAAGTGTTTTTCGTAAAGCGAAAGAGTAACGGCTTTACGAAAAGATAAATAAAAGAAAAAGGTTTAACGATCTTAAAAAAAAAAGCAAAAAAAAGACGATTTTAAAAAGAAAGAAATGATTTTCCGATTATCGTTACTATTTAATCCGCTCGTAAATTATAATTTACGAATAAATTAGCGTCGTAAGCTCTTTAAAAGCGATTTAAAGCTCGATCACGCTTGTTAACGTCGTATTAATGACGAGCGTTTACTTTACGCTAATTAAAATATATAATCTTAATAAGTCTACCGTAAGTAGCGGTCGAAAGGTTAAAACGAAGCTAATAAAGCTTGCGGCGAGCGCAATTAAAAAAAATCTAATACTTAGCTAATTATACTTATCCGAAGATCACGCTATGATTTCCAAAGTTAATAATAAGAAAAAGAATAAAAAATTAAACGCGTTTATTAACTGTAAGATTAAGAAGTGCAAAATGTAAGATAATAGCTTCGCGAGCTTTATTATATAATTTAATAAAAAATAAAGCCGAGAAAAGTTAAATCAAAAGTTCAAAAAAAAAAAGTGATTTGAATAGCGCTAAATCAATTAACGCGTACTTATTAGCTTTTGAATCGAGCAAAGCAAATACTTTATACGAAAGGCCGTTCTTAATAAAAGTGACGAGTATAATTATAACTTTACTATTAAAGAACTTCGTAAAGTCGAAGTATCGTATGTCTCGAAGCTAGCTTAAGAAAGAAGCTTTGCTTAAGCTTCGACGTTTCCTTTATTATCAAGAGCGTCGGAGTTAGCAAAAAAGAGCTTTTAATAATCTTTAAAAGCGTCGGAGTAAAGCCTATCGTCCGAGTTATCTGAATAAAGTCTAGCGCCGTATTCTATCTCGTTGACTAAGTGGTAGCGGAAGAGCTTCGGCGTATTCGAGTCCTTGCGAAACGATTTAAAGGTTTTGATCGCTAACTTAAAAGCGCTTCCGAGAAAAAAGAATTTATTAAATCGATTAAATCGATC